AACCCGAAAATCCATTTGACCCGAGGTTATTCTGTTTTCCATAGTTTTTATGCGTTTTTTGCAGCTATGCAAAACGAAAAACGCATACTGATGAGAGGTTGTCTGTGTGTGTTTGTGTGTGTGTGCAAAGCACCTGCACCACTAGGTGTACAGGGTTGATTTTCAGCCAAGCAGTAGCAGAAATTATATTTTCAAAAAAATACCTGTCCACATGAGGCAATTGTACCGGCATTTAATGCTGCAACAGGAGCCCATGCAACATCACGCACCCAGTCCGTGTGCCCCTCTAGAGCACATTCCAGCTGCCAGCTATCGTCGGATGTTTCGCTGAAAATCATGATCAATCCAGAATTCTTGTCAAAAAAAATTTTCATGGCTCCTTTAAAGCTTTCTTTCTATTCAGTTACTACTAAAATCCACAATTTTAGAATCAATGTGAGACCATCAGTACGGTTCCAAGGCCAGAAATCCCATGATCCTAAGTCCAAAAAACAAAAATAATAGTGACAAACCTCCAAATTTTAACATAATTATCGTTGCCTCCAGAAACCATTCGCTTCTGCGTGTTAGGACCGTCGCTTTGACTGAGCGAAGTGTAATATGTTGCAGGCGCCCAAGAAATTGCATTACATCCCTGAAACATTCGCACATCGAGCACATTTAAGGACGGAAAGGAGGAAGCCGGCAAGGGTGAGAAAGTGGGGCAAGGAAACGAGGAGAGTGAAGCAAAAATTCGGATTTGTCCAAATACCTTCAAAAAAAAAAAGCCAAAGAGTTGGAAAAGACGGATGTTTGCGCAAAAAAGCAGACAGGAGAGCAACCAAGGCGGTGGATGGATTCATTTGAACGGCTACATTGAATTATATGGACTAAGAGATGCGCAAAATAGAGAAGAACAGAGAAGTTAGCTAAAGCAGCATCAGCGAAAAGGAACATGACGGTGAAACAACAGCTGATCCGGAATGCAAAAATAAAAAAAATACAGAAAAGGGGAGAAGCACTGTTGCGTTGGGGATCAGTTTACCTCTTCATGAGCTTTTGGGATGATCTGATGCGTCCATATTTTTGCTTTACTAAAGCTCAGCACCGAAACTGTTCCATCGGTTGATGCACAGGCCAACGTGAGACCGTACTGATGCGGCGCCCAGCTTATCGAATTTACGCTAGCATCGTGGTGATTCCATTCATAGAGCCTTTGCCATTTTCCAGATACTTCCTTCCAAATGATGACACGCCTGTAAACAGACCCGAAAGTGAGAATTCCTGTACAACAATGCATTTCAGCGGACAGTTTTGATGCAGAAGTCAAAAACTTCTGCCACGGTAAAAGAAAGTTATAATAAGAAGGAATTAAATAAATAGAAGAGTGGAAAAAGGAAGGTGAGAAATGAAAATTAGAAAATTTTTGAGAATATTATAATGGCAAGAAGTGTTTCGATCCATTAATTCTGCATGAAAAAGGGGTTTTTTCCCCGATTTCACCATTAAGGCACCAAAGACTCCTTTTTTTACTTCGATGATACAATGGAAATGAAAAAGAAGACGGCAGAAAGTCAAGCACATACAAAGGCGGGAAAACAGAACTTCCGGATCTGTATTTTGTTGCTGGAAGCCA